TTTTTGTTGCTTTAAAAATAATATAAAAAGATTATAAGCGCGCCACCCACACGCATTTTTACATTACAGCCTTTTTATATAAGCGTTAAGACTTTAAAGTTCATATTTAAATGACAATGATATTTTTGAGTTGGAGCCGTACCGGAGCCATGCTCATTAGATGTAAGATGACCTTTAGGCAATAACATAAAACTCTCATGGTTCTAATAATGATACTGTAAACTACCTGAAATGGATATTAATTATAATTTCAACGAACGCTAATGATTCAGAGATCAAAGGAGTTGTCCAGTTAAATAGCCCCGTACGTATTGTTGCCCTTCTCAGAATTTTAAGAAGGGTTAATTAAAGGATGAGCTTAAGGGGTCAGAATTTTAAATTGTTTGTTGCACAGTTGAAATATTTTAAGAATATGAAATTGTCGGAGCCTAAGGGTAGATGCCTAATTTTTATTTTAATGTCCATCTGGTAGATTATTTTAAATCATTAGACACGTATTTTTTATTTTCTTACAGAAACGAATAGGTACTGTCGACGATATATTAATTTAACTCGTCGAGTACCGTCTTTGTAGACACAATTATAGAATAATAGGTTGTGGTCACCGGTGACCGCTTGGTGTTTGACAGTTTAAAATGTCTCGTGACGTCACTTCTATGTACATTTTATACGTAGAAATGACGTTTTATACCCACTCCTAAACTTTGATTTGATTTATCTAAGTAGTGTTTTATTATATGACAAAATAAAAAAATACGTGTCTAATATTTTTTAACTACCTAACTTACGGACTAATTAGATTTTTGATTTTCATACCCTGTCGTCATCCCAATTAAATGGAGTCTATGTTTTACAGAAATACATCTTTTAATTGTATCCAAAGTTGAACTAAACGTCTAACTTAGGCAAGTTAGAACTTAGGTAAGTAAGAAGTTTAGTTACAGCGTTACAGGTTAGTGTTAAAGGTGTTTTTTTTTTTTAAGGGGGGAAAATCATCGTGTGACTGCTCCCGCCTGGGTGAGGCGGGAGGGAGTGTCAGACTCTTACTGACTAAAAATCACCCCGTTCCTTCTCCTGCACGTCGAGCCGGAGCCCCGGTTACCCGTTAGGGTCTCCGCGACTCCGAATCGGCATCGGCCCTATTGGGCCCCATCTGTGGTGGTCTGATGGCTCTTTGAGGCGCGCGCGGAACGCGACGCGCCGTACGCTCGGGTCTGTTTCTGGTCGGACGGGGAGCCACCCATGCTCGCCGTCCGCAGGCCCGCGCTTACGGTGGCCGGAGATCGTCCCGCGATCCCCGACGCCCGGTGTGTCCTTCGCGATGGCTGGGTTGCGAGGAGGCAGCGCTTCGCTGCCTCACGCGTCCCGCCTCCTCCTTAGCTAGCATGACTGCTTCGCAAAAGGAGGAGACGGCATCCCAATCCCCCTCGCAGTGTTAAAGGTGTAACACTAGCCACAAGTTTATCAACATAATTTAAAGTTAATATAACATAAGTTGAAATTTTGTTCTGACTTTTGTTTCATCCGCAAGCCGTAACCGGTGAACTTTTTTTTATGGCATAAGCCGGTAAACGATGATGGTAAGCAATCGGCGTCGCCCATGGACACCTGGAACACCAGAGGCATTACAAGTGCGTTACCAGCTTTTTGGGGATTGGGAGTTTGAGGACCGTTGGGGATTCAGGGATTGGGGAAATTGGGGAAGGAAAGGGTAATTGGGCCTCCGGTAACCTCACTCACACGACGAAACACAACGCAAGCGTTGCTTCACGTCGGTTTTCTGTGAGGCCGTGGTATCACTCCGGTCGAGCCGGCCCATTCGTGCCGAAGCATGGGTCTCCTACACTTATGACCTCTCTCTATTAACTCCATTATATACCTTATTTCCGATGTTTAGAGACTACTTTTGTATCAACAAATTTTGTGGATTTATGGGTATCAATCAAGTTATTAAGCGACCTTAAAATATTCTTATTCAATCTAATAGCTAAACCTAGTACCACCCAACTATTATAATACATCACCGACCCCTTTCCAACTAAATTCAACAAAACCAACCAAAATCGAAATCAAAATCCGATAATTGACGTTTCAAATTGTGTCTATTCAGAGTCAAACGACATCGGTTACAAAGCGTTGCCCCTTAAAAGTTAAATGGTACTTTTCACTTTTGATTAAACTAAACAAAGCCTGATTGCGGCCCTCGTTAATTTGAGTTCTCGCCCATCGAAATTATAATAGTCTATTCTGATGAGATCTTATCGACAACACTTAGTATCTGATGGCCAATTCCAGCGTCGGGTTAACAGTTAATCTCAGTAATAAGTGAACACTTGAAACAGTTTTATTGTGGATTATAAAGTTTAGCATTCATTTTCTTAATTGATAGGACTTAGGAGTTGCTGAAACAGCGTTTCTTTCTTGAATTGTTTTGAAATCCAGTTAAATTGTGATATTATGAACTTCATACATTCTTACATACATAACTTCATGCCTGTCTCCCATGGGGGTAAGCAGAGACTAAGGAACGCCAATTACTACGATTCTTACATACCTCTTTCGCTTCATTAACAGTCATCAATCATAAAAATTTATATACTATCATATTTCATTAAAAATTTCAATGAAAATGATATAAAGAAAGGAAAAAATAAATAAATATGTAAAACTTAAGAGACACTAAAATTAAAAGAGAAAATTAAAAATAAATAAAAGTAAACTAAAAATGACTATTTACAGAGAGCATCAATAAATTCGTCCGCATCGACATCAATAGGCAAAATACCCAGAAGGCTGGCAGCATTGCCACGTTGTATGGCAATGAAAAAAATGTATTTTAAAATAACGTAATATTGAAAATTTGATGTTTCGAGATCAGAAAAATGACTATCAAAAACTCAAATTGGATTAAAATATTTTGGATAAATATAACAATTTACTAACAAATTATTTTGTTCTTTGTTACAGAACGCCTAAATGTGCTTTACGAACGCAACTGGACCCGCCTCGTTCACGAGCAGCTGCGCAAGTTCGAGTCATCAATAGTCGCGGCTGCGAGGCAGTCGCCCGAGACACAACCACCAGAGCTAGCCATGGACTCCAAGTGGACGTTCTCTGGATCTTTGATATACTGTATCACACTTATCACTACTATAGGTGAGTTTTATGAATTATGTTGAAAGAAAAGTGATATATTTATTTGATTCAATCAGCTACATTGTTAAGTTTTTGTTTGTGTAGTTTTGAAAGTTAATTTTATATTGATTAACTTCGATTAACATTGATTGACTGCATGGTTGGCGCGATGGCTGGGCAACCGGCTGCAGTGCAAAGTGTCGCGGGTTCGATTCCCCCACGGGAAGTTCTTTGTGTGATCCACAGATTGTTGTTCAGATCTGGGTGTTATGTGTATTTAAAAAAAGACAATAAAAACAAGGAAGAAAGATTCGTAAATTAAAAGTAATAACAAAAGACAATAGATACCTAATTCTGTACCTTATTAGCCTAATAGTAGGGGAGCCCACGATGCTAAATTGGGATTTACTTGAGCGTCCTTGGGATCTACTGGATTTTGAAGATATGCTGATAGAAAGAAGAAATGGTTTAGTGACAATTTCTTACACCAGTGGGGGAAGGGGGAATCTACAGATCTTTGAAATTGTTAAGCGTAACTTTTGTTCTAGTGGTCGAGCGTGTCAGATATTGATAATGTACATGCTCCATGTGTATTTAATAATAAAAAACTCTTAATCTGCCGGTTTGCATGGTGGGGTTGAATGTTCTGGAGAGTACAAACGAGAACCCTTCAAGATCCCCCCACTCTTGCAAATCAAGTTGGAATGGGCAGATTTTTTAAACGCACTTCCTTTAGCACGGTATTGACCTACCTTCCCTTAATCTGACGAAACTGACTTTATTTAGTCAGACTTTTTTTTTAATTTTCAGTCCCCCCCTTCTGATCAGATCGGATATATATTGGGTATATTCAACATGACACTAGGTTTTCCCCATATGTTAATCTGACGCGCTCGAGTAACTACCGAAATCCCTTCATGGGCTCCCCTACTATAAGTAGTCACGAGTTTTGATCACTATTGGTCCATGTCATCTATTATAAAGTTTTCATTTAATCAAGTTTTTTTTTTTATTTAATCTTGTTGTCCTAGGATACGGTAACGTTTCACCAAGAACAGCTGCTGGTCGAGCAGCCACAGTAGCCTATGCAGCAGCTGGAGTGCCACTTACATTGGCATGTTTGGCGGGACTGGGAGCATCCTTGGCACGACTGGCACGACTGGCGTGGCTGAGGGCAACTAAGAGGAAAGTGCCTAATACTTGGAGGAAGGATGGAGAGGTAAGGTTTTTAGGTTACTTTTCACTCTACAACATAACGTATGTCTATTATTATACATATCATTTTACTGGAAAATCAACATCGTAACGTTAAACCTTTTATTTTGTCGCGGAGAACCTAACGGTCGCGGAGAACCTAACGGGTTACCGGGGCTCCGACTCGTAGTGCAGGAGTAGGAACGGGATGGTTTTTAGTCAGTAAGAGTCTGACACTCCCTCCCGCCTCACCCAGACTGAACCAGTCATTCGATGATTTTCCCCCTTAAAAAAATTGCTTTTATTTCTCGAATTATTTCTAACTTCTTTTTACGAACTCATTTTTTACGCCAGTTGTGTTCAGTCTTATATAATCCATTGGCATTAAAAAAAATACTGAAACCAAACATGTAACAAAAAATGTTACTCCAGCAAAATTCCAGGGGTGAAAAAGGGTTCAAAATAAAAGTACAGAACCTAAAATTGTATTTTACTGACAGCTAACTTCATTACTGCGAAAAAAAATGATACGCGATTTAAGCGCTGTTCCCGTAATGAATTTAAAAACAAAAGAGGGTTTGTGATCGTTAGGTTAGGTTAGATCATCATAAAGAGAACAACCTATGACCACCAATTGCAATAATTCTCCTATAAAATGAGATAAAGTTTAATATGCTATATGAAATCACAACCACAACTTAAAAAGTTTACGTTTCTGTCAAATGTTTAGCCTTAGTCGGCTCTTTTGTCAACCGTCTTCTCCATAAGTAGAACTGGGCTAGTCATAATAAGTCACCATAAGTCTTGACGCATTTTTGAATCGGTGTAACAGTTCATTAATCTAAAGGACCGCTGATCTAATGTATAGTTAGCTTAATCACTACGCAATGGCTGCCTTATTACAGTGACTGTGTGTAATTACATACACAAATCTGTCAATTGCACAAAATGAACAAAATGTTCAGCATTTAATCACCCATGTGTGCGCCCTCGCCACTCTTTTATGCGCAGTGGTAACGTAAAACGAAAGTTAACTTAAATGATAAAATTAGACTTCAAAAATGTATGTAATTGCAATGTTTCAAGTGTTATGAACTTGTATATCTCCACAGTAACCTATGAGATCTAGATATTAAGACAGACATGTACTAGCGCTCTGCGACATGAACTGCTCTCCTATTTGCATTAACATGCTGAGATAGCACATACCTGTCAAATCTGTGTTGTCTCATCTCCATAATATCAGCGGTATACGGCAATACAAACATATACAAATATACATAATAATATACTGATAACATATACTAAATAACTTCATTTTCCTATGTCTCACAGCCGGAAAACTACCTCCAGCTCCACGAGCAGCAGCGCCTACTTCCTCAGCCAGCAGAACATAACCAATACACATCATTTCCACCGAGAAGCCACCGGTCTCCTGGCACAGTGAAGGCCAGAGCTGGAGATAGGGGCCAGTACTCCCAGGTCTTTGAGAGAGCCCCAGCTAGTCCGCGAGCTGCCACGTTGGGTCGAGTAAAGCGCAGTGCCTTGCCTGATGGTATGTGTATTAAAATACAATAGATTTTTGAGTAATGGGGATTTGATAGTGACTGAAGATTTTGTTCATAATAATTTTATTCATTACCTAATTAAGAACTTGAACGTTAAGATAATAAGATATGGACGAAACTAGACATTAATTTACTTTAAAAAATATATTTTTTGTCATTTATGTTCTGACTATCAAGCAATAGGTGGGAGCTAATTAAAAAAAATATTTAAAACATTAACTCATTTTGTCCCCAGAACCACACACATCTACATCTCTACAGACTCAGACGCTAGATCGGAAGAAGACTATGGGTAGCACAAAATGCCTCGCTACAGTCCATGGCCCTGGTCGAGGCAGGGGACGGACCACCATGCAAAGACCAAGGGGAGCTGTTATTGAGCAGCTGATTGCTGAAGAGTGTGGGGAGCTGCAGATGAACAGGAGTCAAGACGACTTGGACGACTCTGAGGATCCTGATGAGGCGTGAGTGTCTTATGTTTCCATGGTCATAACAGATCAATAACCGATTATGTTTGTTTTCAAAGAGTTTTCTAGTACCTAATAGAGAGACAGATTATTGTTTTGGTAACAGCAATAGAAACATGAGTTATTTTAGAAATTCATCACAATATAAACAAAAAACTAACTAATAGCTGGCCATTAAATAATGGCTGGGAACTAGACGTATCGTATTTGTAAAATTCATTTAGTTATTTTAGTTTAAAATAGCAGTCTATTTTTTAATAAAAATAGCAATTTATTTTTTTCAAATGGACAAATAAAATTTTGATCAAAATGTAACTGCTTTTTGCGAGTGAGTTTCTAATTGTTGTTTTTATTTTCAATTCACACGTTTGAATTTGTTAACAGGATATGTCCACACGACACCCCGTCACGAGTGCCTTTGATATGGAATGAGGAGAGTCATAAGATGAAGAGTTCTAACGTGGCGAGCAGTAGTGCCTCCACCAGCGTCCAGCACCACATCCACCACGGCATCGAACATTGTCACATCCCCGTTGGAATAGTTTTATTCCTTCTCCTCGCTTACATCTGTGTCGGCGCTGCCATCTTCTCCGCTTGGGAGAACTGGAGTTTCCTCGACGCTGCGTACTTCTGCTTCATTGCCTTAGCCACGATAGGTTTCGGAGATTTCGTCCCCACCAGCTTTCTAACAACTAAACATAGCACAGAACACACTAAAAGCGAGTACGTTCAAATGATCGCGTGTTGTGCCTATCTGGTTTTTGGACTCATATTAATAGCTATGTCATTTAGCCTCCTACAAGATGAAGTAGTCGCTCGATGCTCGCAATTAGCTAATAGTTTAGGCCTCTCGCGTCAATGACAGTACGAGAAGAGTGATTGTAGCTCAACAGACAATCACTTGAGAATGTTATGATCGTTATTGTAAGCAATTGATTTGGGGTCCACTTCATTTAATTTCTTCATTGGATCCATTTACGTATTCATTGTAACCCATGTTATCACTATATCGTAAATAAAAATTATTTTCTCATTGTCTACACACAATTGTATTGATAATTTTAATAAAGAACTAAATTTGAAAAAAAAAACTTTTTACGGAATTTGTACTCGAAAAGAAAGTGGTTTGTGATGTAAATAATGTATAAAACTATTTATAAAAGCAAGGCTGAAATTGTAATGAAACAATAAAATTGTGTTGAACTAAAACTCGTTTCATTTTTAGTCGCAATTTATTTTCAAATGGAATGTTTGATCAGGAATGAATGTTCTATTTGAGAACATAAATATTGGCAAGAACTCGATAATTCTTGGGTATTTACAATCACGCAGATTATAAAATGACTCTTGAAATCTGTATAAAACACGCTATTTTTAAAAACCGACTACTGTAACCGAACATAAAGAGCGTACCAAGCGAGTACTCTCACCACAAGGGGTTAAAGCAATTCTGGGCACATTACATGAGTTAAACTGGACGACTAAATTCCCCGATTCTGGTTCGCGTAAAATTCTCCCTTGTGGGATTACGTGCGGTTTGATACGGGATAAGAGTCCTTGAATTACGTCAGTATCGTCCTTATATGGACCATAAAGTTGGACGGAATTTAAATAATATAGGTTTGTTTTTACTGGACATCCCGTGTCTGATGAATAAAGGCTTTATTTCAGAGAAAAACAAGATTTTTTGAGGACATTTCAATGAAAAAAATAAGTCACGAAAATCAAGTACAAAATTTTACGCATTCATATTTTAGTAAACTTCTTTGTAAAACTGCCTCGTTGGCGAAGTGGTCACAAGTGCGCCTGCTGGGTAAGGTCTCGGGTTCGATTCCCGGGTTGGGCAAAGTATTAATGGATTTTTAAAAAAAATCTCAATAATAGCACGGAATCTGGAATTGATCCAGGTATATGGTAATAAGCTCACGTCCTATAACATGGGACTCATAACATAAATCTTGAAAAGTGGGTGTTACATTGTAGTGGCATTAAGCTGTAACATGCACCTCTATCTGCCCCTTCGGGGATAAAAGACATGACGTTATGTGTTCATTGTAAGTAGGACAAAACATTCACTACTGAACAATACCAAATCCTACAACTAAACTAAAACAAGTTTACCACAAAGTATCCAATTACGCTTATAATCCCCAAACAGTCCGTTTAACAAACACTATAAGGGCTTAAAAACCAACTACAAAAACACTTCACTGACATAATCAAATATAATAACATATACATAGGCAGTAACCATTTGGGGTCTAGCCACAACCATTAGGGGTCTCGTTTTCTCTTCACATTACTACTACGTGACACTTTTGTTTACAGGATAATTTTGCTCAACAAAACACTGTTTTAATGGTAGACACACGGTAGCAAAATGTACCAATGATTAGTAATGAGCGAATTACTTGTGTATCCACGAGTGCGCAAATCTTTATTGAGGTAGAGGTGGCTTTGTCGAAAGGTGTGTAAGCGTTTTTCACTTCTGTGCGAGTTATAGTCCTATCCTATATCCTAATATTCTTCGCGCGCGCCTCAAAAAGCCATCAGACCACCACAGATGGGGCCCAATAGGGCCGATGCCGATTCGGAGTCGCGGAGAACCTAACGGGTAACCGGGGCTCCGGCTCGACGTGCAGGAGAAGTAACGGGGTGGTTTTTAGTCAGTAAGAGTCTGACACTCCCTCCCGCCTCACCCAGGCGGGAGCAATCATTGGATGATTTTCCCCCCTTAAAAAAAAATATATATCCTACTATTCTTGGATATAACTCTACATTTATGTTTATATTGCTTTAAGGTATACAATAAAGATTATTATTATTATCCTGTGGTTTCATATTCCGTTTTTACTGAGAAAACATTAAAATGTAAAAAATGAGAAAAATTAGGAACCAAACACGCTGGTAAAACTAATAGACTAAAGGTCGATTTTTCAATCATTAGTTAATGCTTAACTGTAGAATAAAATTGGCAGCTGAATATGTTTAGTATGGGAGGACTGTCAAATATTCAAAGTTATTCCTCTGACAAAGTTCAAAGTTATTCCTATGGAAGATTTGTCAAACATTCAAAATCGTTTCTCGACAAAATTTAACTGGCGTTCGAAAAATCTGTCCTAATACGATTTTGAGATATTTGGGTGATTTGCCTATATGACTTCTGTAGTAGGGATTGTGTAGGTAGATACTATACAGCCATTTTGTTTTACAAAAAACCTAAGTAAATATTTATCTTTAAAACCACTATTCACATCTTCAAGAAAGAACTCAATGAACTCTCAATAAAACTACAATACAACAATGGCTGCCAGCTACTTTCGAATGCAGACGAATGAATAAAACAACGCCCTCCAACGTCACTCCAATCGCCTTGAACTTTTACGCAAACTACCTCTAGTTTGAAAATTCGTAAATATTACGAACTACGTCCCACCTGTTCCCTTCGCTTCTAAGGCGACTTAATAAAACTTTTGATGCAACCTCCAGTGGCTGGAACTTCGTGGGAAAATATTGCAGAGATTTAGAAGACAACAATGTGTGGTTAGTTTAAATTGAATTGGTTCCTGTGTGTCTAGGATAGTGTCGTGAAATGTTGGAATTTAGTTATACTCTAAAATGATGAAGGAAGATGTCTTTTAAGCTGTAATTAAGAAGAGCTGAAGACTGAGCTCAGTGGCGTGCCATTGGAGAGGTCTAACAGTGGACGAATATGGGCCTATGATGATGATTATGATGAAGTTGTAAAAATGACTCAGTTTGATTCAAAGTCCATTTTTAGTCACAATCACAAACAATTCAGACTTTATCTGAAAAAAGATAATATAGGTACTAGATAATGTGATTGCAAAGATACGATAACTTCAAGTAAAATTATTTTGGAAAACCTCTTAAATTAAACTGTCAAACACCAAGCGGTCACTGGTGACCGCAACCTATTGTTCTATAATTGTGTCTACAAAACCGGTACTCGACGAGTTAAATGCCTCTAACCAAGATTGATTTGTGGAATGAGTGAGTACTATTATTTAAATACCATAACATAACATCTCGCCTTTTATAGATAAAAGGCGAGGTTATCCTTGAAGGGGTAGGCAGAGGTGCACATTATGCAACTGTACAATGCAACACTAACTTTTCACTATTTATGTTACGAGTCCCATGTAATAGGAGGTAAGCCTATTGCCATACACCGAGCATAATTCCAGGCTCTATGCTACTACTGAGATTTTTTTAAAAACCCATAAGTTCTTTGCTCGACCCGGAAATCGAACCCGAGACCCCTTGCGACGGCCAACAAGACAAAAACTTACACAGTACTATTTTAATAGTACATAAATGATTCCTAGGCCATAAATTATCGTTAATAAAGGCAGAGTATTCTGAAGAAGATTAATTAAAGTCTCAGTTAATCAAATCCCGGTTGACGGCAGTTACACAAAAGATTTGCGGGCGCCATTCTGACCTGAGTTAGCTTTTCATTCTAATTCATTTTTCCCTTACACCTGACATTATTCTTCACCTATAAAGACCTTCGTTTATAATTAATTTATAAAATATAATAATCTAGAATCCGTAAATTTTAGTCACCTTAAACGAAATTAATTATTGTACTCGAGCAATTTTAGGCACGTAGTCTTTGTAGACAGATATTTTCGTCATGAATTGTATTTTTCTTTTATAATTAGTTGTACAAAAAATATTTAGAGAGCACCTTATATTACTCGCTGTAGTTTATTTATTACTAGCTGTTGCCCGCGATTTCGTCCGCGTAGAATAATGACTTCTGGCAGAATTTAGGCTTTTGAATTAGTTTTTATCAAGGGATATTCTACGGTAATGGATGTCGTCAGAATTGATTCAGTCCCGTAGATGATAGCGTGATAATATGTAGCCTATATGTTTACCAGACTTGTTAGTAATATTCATGCAAAATTTGAAATAGTAGTGCAGTACTTTTTGAGATCATCACGGCCATACATACAGACAAACAGACAAAAATTCTAAAAACCACATTATTGGCTTCGGTATCGATTAGAGATCACGCTTCAAATATTCTTTTAAAAAATATTCAATGTACAGTTTTGACTTTTCTACGATTTATTATATGTGTAGATAGCTGTTGCCCGCGACTTCGTCCGCGTAGATTAATGACTTCTGACAGAATTAACCAGAATCAATTCAGTGCCCAAGTAAGATTTACCTATTTTGAAATGATTTATCGTAGTTTCAATAAATAAATAATCCCGCAGGGATCTTACCAGTACAGTGCCCGATCACGTAAGGTTTGAGTAATAAAAACTATTCTATCGACTATTGTTGTACCGAATCTCTCTAGAATAAGTTCAGTGGTTAAGAGTTAGAGAGTCCTGGGGCATTGACGCATAGTTCCCGTTCTCGTGAGACATCTGTGAAAAAACTATCATACGTTACCCAGGTCCCAAATCATCGTTTTACCGAATGTAATTCAAAAAGATTCAATGATTCTAAATTCAACGGCTAAGAAGATTTATACAAACTCTCATTCCCTATTTTATCCCCTTAGGGGTGGAATTTATCAAAATCCTTTCTAAAGAGATACCTATGTCATAGTAACTTTATGCATGCAAAGTCTCAGCCCGATCAATTTAAAACTGGCAAAGTATCATACTTTGGGGTGAGAATGTTCAAAAACCTTTCTAAAGGGACGTTTACGTCATAATATCCATCTGCACGCCGAATTTCAACCCGATCGGTGTAAAACTGACAAAGCCTCACACAAACGTTCATCCCCTATTTTACCCCCTTGGTGGAAATTATCAAAATCCTTTCAAAGCGGATGCTTACGTCATAACATCTATCTGCATGCCAAATTTCAACCTGATCGGTTTAAAACTGACAAAGGCTCATATAAACTTTCATCCCCTATTTTACCCACTTGGGGGTGGAAATTATCAAAATCCTTTCACAGCGGATCAATTTAAAACTGGCAAAGTATCATACTTTGGGGTGAGAATGTTCAAAAACCTTTCTAAAGGGACGTTTACGTCATAATATCCATCTGCACGCCGAATTTCAACCCGATCGGTGTAAAACTGACAAAGCCTCACACAAACGTTCATCCCCTATTTTACCCCCTTGGTGGAAATTATCAAAATCCTTTCAAAGCGGATGCTTACGTCATAACATCTATCTGCATGC